AGCTGGGAGTATATGCAAGTGAAGAACCATTGTATGTTTGCCTTGTTCTCTGTACTTTTTCCCTTCAGCATTTGCTACCAGCTGTTCTTACTGGCTTACGCTGGAAGCGTTGGCATAGGCTTCAAGGATGAGTTTGTAGCTTTCTCAGATGTGGGGAGCAGGAGACAATGGGTTGTGGTAACCCAAGCAAAACGAGGAGAAACAACAAAAGAAGGAAGGAATTTGAATTGATAGATTCTACTGATAGAAGATGACAAAAAAATGGAAGATGTTGTCAGACAGGTTCTCTCTTGCATCCAGTATTCTTTGGGGTGTTCGAGGACAGGTGGGTACTGTCTGGCGGCACTCTGCTCAGAAGTGTGATGAGACAAAGAACCAGAAATGGGCTCCACAGTTGCCAGATGCATTTATTCAACTTCCTTCTCTGTTGCTGTGGATGCTGGTTGTGGTTCCTATTGACTTTTTTTTTTGGTCCAGGAGGAGCAGTGAAGCTTACCTTAGGAGGTCCTGCTTTGGTTTAACAGCGCCTTTTTAAGAGTGTCTGGAAGTGTTGCTGTACTAGAGACCAAACTGAGTAGCAAATGTAAAGTGCTTTAAAAAAGGGAGTGGGCAGAAGAGTGTCTGCAGAGTCAAAACAAAGTAAAGTCATAGGTCTACACTAAACAGAGGCATTTTGGGGCCCGTACTTCTCTGGAGATTTTCAGAGAGTCAGTAGACTCTAAGTTAAGTTCCTTCCACCAGAACAGAGTTTGAGGGGTGATGGTTTCAGGAAACAGAAATACTTCCCAGAATTTCTCTCAGTGCTGGGGTAGAAGGGTGCTTCCGATGAATAACCATCTTGGGCTGGAAGTGTGGTCAAGCACACAACACCAGGCTAGCTCAGCTAAGCTGGCACTACTTACTTTCCTTTGAGCCTACTGCTGCTGCATTTGGTTCTCTTGTCTCCGCTTGACCAGTGCTGAAAATAAACAAGATGTTATTTTTTTATGATCTAGCAAGACCATCTTGAACTGTCCTCCAGTTCAGTTTGATCATCTAAAGCTTTTATCAATGCTATCATGAATCCATATTCTCTTTGCATCCTGTTAGAGTTCTGGTGAGTTTGGGGGTTATTTTGTTTTTTATTTGGTTTTTTTTTTTTTTCAGTGATTGAAGGTGTTGCTGCTCCCAGTTGTCTGCTGCCTCCCTGTGCTGGAAGCTGCAATGTGTCCTTAGTCTCAGTTATTTCTGTCTGCTCAGTGCATTAGCTTAAAATTCTAGTGAAAGTGGCTTTTCGACTAACACTTTGGACTGTGAATGGGACCTGTGTGTTTCCTTCTCATGTTTGTTACTGGAATAAGAGCAGAGAAGAGGTTAACGTGCTGTAGGAGAAAAATGCATGCTAAGCTACCACAACTGGTTATGCTGTGAATGAATCGGTCCTTCTAATTAAGAAGGACAGTGTCTGGTTCTCTTTTTACCAACAGGTTCTGAAATGGCTTTCATCATGCAATTTTTAGCTCCTGTCCTGGTTTCAGCTGGGATAGAGTTAATTTTCTTCCTAGTAGCTGGTACGGTGCTGTGGTTTGGATTTAGGGTGAGAATCATGTTGACACCACACCGATGTTTCAGTTGTTGCTGAGCAGTGCTCACACTGGTCAAGGGCGTTTCAGCTTCCCCTGCTCTGCCCGGTGCCCGAGGAGCTGGGAGGGGGCACAGCCAGGGGGGCTGCCCCCGCCTGGCCCCAGGGCTATTCCATACCCTGTGGCG